AAATCATATATGCATCTTACCTAAACTCTTTTGTAATATTTTTAAAATTTGGTATAATTTTTGAATATATAATTTTTTATAAGTTTTCACCAAGATTTAGCTACGATCAAATAAAAATAGACTAGTTATACGTTGCTAATACACTCCATTCTTTTTTTAACTATTCATTTAACTTTTAGTATTAAATATTTAACCAATAATGTCTCTTCAAATATTATGAAAAAAGAATAACATATTTTTCAATACAAGTGTTTTAATTAATTGTACGTGTATATTTTTAAATACTCCCTTCGTCCCTTAAAAAAACATTTATGATGGGAGGGATATTTTTGTATTGACTTTCGAAAGTATTCTTAATGTGAAGTAAAAGTATGATGTGATAGAAGATTATTAGTAAAAAGCTAAGGTTTGATGTGATAGAAAGGATACGAATTAATATGAGTAAAAGTGCGATGGATTTTTAATAGAATAGGAAAGGAGTTTGTTAGACAAGAAAAAAGGAAGAAGAAAGAGTTTAAGGGACGAAGGGAAGCAAATATAACTAGCTAAAGTGTACAAAATGTAAATCTGAGCCGCTAAAATATTATGGAGGGAGTATATGAGGGTGATAGGAAGTGTGGTGAGCAATGGAAAAGTAGAAGTTAAAAATTAGAAGCAGTAAGCCATTATTTTTAGCTTTGCTCGAAAACACTTCTACACCTTAATTTCTACTTCTTAATAAGTTAAAAATTACCAAACATTTAAAATTATGTTTTAATAAAGTATAAGCTGTAAATTATTTTTAAATGTACTCTCAAACACCCTCTATGTAGGAAACTTATAAGAAGACAAGCGGTGGTGTAGCGTTTAACATATTGAGAGTATGTGAAATAGGGAAATCAGTTATACGAATACTAACCGCTAACACTAAATCATCAACGACCTCGTTTGGCATCAGTGTTAGAGATTAACATTAGAGTTTTGAAAAGGTTATCTGACAATAGATTTTAGGGTTAGCGTTTTCAAAATTAAGCTACATCATTAATTTTTTTTAACTAAAACGCTAACACTAATCGAAATCGGTATTCCAAAACAAGGCCAACATTATGTAAACGGAAGCCTTTTTAGTATTAATATGTAGATTATTCAGCATATATTCCCTTCGTCCTATTAAAACTTCTTACTTTAATTTTTACCATATTTAGAAAGAAGTATTGAAATATGAAAAAATTGGGCTTAGTAAGTCAAAACAGAAGAAAAATTTCTAAAGTACAAATTATATGAGGGAGGAAGCATTCCCTGTGTTTCTAAAAGTCTTTTTCCGATCCTTTTTTTTTCTATCTGCAAATTACTGTTATTAATTTTTATCTTATCTATCGCATCATATATATTCATTAGTAATCTAGCTATTAAAACCTATTTTACCAATCAAATCAAAATTTTTATGAAAAGTCAACACAAAATATTCATTTTTTAAATTTTATAATAAAAGTCAAAATTGGCTCAGCATGCAATTACGAAGTGCATAGCTCAGTTTTCATCACGAATATATGATTAAAACTGAGACCATCTAATCGATTTTGAGATGCCCCGCTGGACAAGAAAAGAGAACTCGCCATTATTGATCACAAACTATTGGGGTTGACAATCTCTTTTTGTCTCCCTTTCACTGAATACCCCGTATTAAATTACTATTAAAACACGTGCGGGGTGTCTTTGCATGAAACCTAAGTTCGATCATTGATTACCATTGTTGTCTAGCTACGTACGTAAATGAACTGACAAAGAATATAATCAAAGTTCATGAGCAAAAAAAAAAATAGAAAACAAAAAGAATTTAATTCTCCCAAAATATGCTTTTTTTCCCCTAGAGTCAATTTATAAGATATGCGTATATCTATAATCTATATTTTTCAAAACAAAAAGGAAAAAAATGACATTCCGGATTTTTTTTGGGTTTAACTTGAACCAAAGAAAATTTGGCCCAACTTGTTCTACCCCTGATGGATATCAGGACCGCTGAACAGGACTTGTGCGGCTCAATTACAATTCTGAGGCCCAACAAGAATAAAGCCCAGTACCAGAGCGCGAAGGGAGATCGAAGCTCAAGAGTCTGATGAAGTAATGGATCGAAGGCTGGCCCACATCGATAGATTAGGCCCGGTACGAAGAGAAGACGTGATCCCCCAAATTGTGGGATTGCGGGAAGATTGATGACTGATTTTCCGCCATGATTGATGCATGACGAATGGATTGCCGATAATGTAGCGCACGAAATTACATGTCTTGTATACGGTAGAATTAGACTATAATAATTATTTGTATTATTAATATTAGGTAGTATCATTAATGATGGTGATTATTATTATTAATTATACTTATAATTAAAATAATAATTATTGTTAAAGTCTATTATTATTAACAATAATAATAATAATAATTATATTTAAAAATAGACATTATTATTAATTTTTATTATTATTAGTTATTATTAGTTAATAATAATGATTATTGTCATTTTAATCATTATTGTTATTATTAATTACCATTACTGTTATTATTAAGTACGATGATAATAAATTATTATTATTATTCATTATTACTATTATTAATTAATAATGATAATAATAATAGTTACTATTGTTATTATTGTAACTTTAATTATTATTATGTTACAATTATTTATTTTTTAAATAATTTTCTGATCTCAATGGATCTGGTATGATCGGAATGGATCTGATCTAAACTGATTTGAATGATTCTGATTAGATGTGATCTGAATGAATTTGATCTGATTTGGTTCAAATAAAAATAAGCAATAAGTAGCAAAAATAAGTTAAAGAAAATGGGGCCTTAGGCATATAAGATGGGTGTGCAAAAATGAAACATGCTAGTGCACACCATAATGCTGACACTATTTTGACCATAACCATTACACGGACACACAGGATAGTTGGGATCAAAATAGTGCCACCATTTTGGTGTCTCACTATCACAATTGGTGCAAAAATTAGTTTTTCCTACTTCCGTTTAGTACTCATTTCATATGATATCTTTTTTTCAATTTCACTTTTCATAGTCTCTAATGAAATAATTTGATCATCAATATACCTATTTGTTTATAGATATACTTCTGTCCTAAAAATCCTATCTTATTTACTATTCAGGGTTCTCTTGATAATTTTAGTTTTTTGAAAAAATAATAATTTTAGTTTGTTCATGCATTTCAATTGACCTTTGGATAAAATAACTACTTTTGTCACGTATTCTTTTTTGGAACTTGGTGTAGTTATGAACAGTATATAAGTGTGCTTTTGTCCCTGGTCTCTTGACATTCTGGATCCAAGTAGCAAGTGTGATTAAGGAGAAATAAATATAGAAAGCCTTTGAAGGAAGTGATTAGACATGATTTATTACTTCATATTAAATGCTAGAGTCACAAACATATAGTTCACAAACTTCACAAACTTGTCTTTTGTGAATTTTAAATTAAAATATCTTTTATTATTTGAGTGCATGTTATTTCTAGAAAAATCTTAAAAAGGCAATTTTGTGAATTTTATGAACTGTTTGTTTGTGACTCTAGCATTACTCTATTAAGAATATGACCAGAATGTTTTAAAGAGGTACTCCCTCCGTCCCAAAAATCTTGTCTTGTTTCGAACAATGTGCGAAAAATTGATCATCTTTTTAGATTTATTTTATTTATAAATTAGTTTAGAAATAAAAAGTATGTATATCAAAACTACATAAAAATTCTATAAAATAAATGTGACAAGAATATTTTTTTATCAATTAATATATAAAAAACACACAAACAAATATAGATTATCAGAGGGGTGTGACTAAATCCACCTCTAAAAAGGTTATATCCACACATTTTGCCAAATTTTGCTAAATCTACACAAATATCAAATTTATATTAATATGTGTGAATTTAGTAAAACTTGTCAAAAGGTGTGGATTTAAACATTTAGGGATCAAAGAGCAATTAACAACATCCTTATCGAAAGACCATATGGAGTATAATAGTAATCGAGACAAAATTTTTGAGGTGGGGGGAGTAGAATTATGCTTTTGAGCCTTAATTAGTTTGTAACGGTGGTTACGTCATGTTATCTATGTTCGTAGGCCCCGTTTGACATAGCGTTAACATTTTGAATAACGTTTTAAAAAATGATATCTAACAATAACCTTTAGTGTTTGGTTTTCAAAATTAGTCTATAGCATTAACATTTTATTCAAAACACTAACACTTATCGAAAACGTTGGTTTCCAAACAAAGTCATAGTTGTACGTGTGCTCTCTCTCTGATTTTCATGTGTGCATTGTTTATTCTATGGATGGTGCAAAGCCATTTGATTCTTTATGATGGATGGTCTTTCTATTCTGGTTCACACACCCCGTGCACCATGATTAGCGCATTTTTTTGGTGACATCAAACTGTGATTTTGTGTGGCTGGTAATTAATTAGCATGTACCACAATTAGGGAGACATTTATAATTATATGCTTCTTGTTATAAGTCCTTATACACTTAACATTAAAATAAATGTTATTTTGACCTTAAATCTGTTGTCACAAGGTTCACACTACTAATGTCTCATAGAAAATTATATATGAACAATCATTATTTGTTTTGTTTCAAGTTGTCAACGCTGGTGTCATCTCTAATCTTAAAAAAAATAAATGTTTGGCTGATACTCCGTATAATTTTGTAAAATGAGGGCCTTAATGCCAACATACTCTCTAAAAAATTAGAAGCAAAAGAGCAAAACATTTGGATTCACAGACTCGTTCGTTTGTTGCTCCTCTGGCATTAATCCAATGACTGCAACAACGAAAAACAAAGGGAGAGAATTTGGAACAATTAAGCAAAAAGGGGAGAGGAAACAAAAGCTATCATTTTTCTCTTCTTTTTCTTTTTCTTTTTCTTTTTCTTTTCTCTCTTCCTTCTCCTCTCCCCTTCATCCCCTCCCTGAAAGGAAACAAAATCTTAGTTCCTTTTCATTGAAGAATTCAAGAGATTGAAAAAAACAGAACCAAAAAATGACGGATTCGACGTCCCCATCAGAGGATTTTGCATGCGGGAAGGAATTGTTCAACCCAGTCTTAACAATGGGGATGCAGTATTCATGCATTCTTGTCATCTCTCATTTCCTTCAGATTCTTCTCAAGCCCCTTGGCCAGGCCGCCCCCATCGTTCAAATCCTCGTAAGTACGTCCGTTAACCATATTAGTTTCTTCAATCTTGTCATTATAGGCCCAGGAAAGATTTTTTTTTTATATTCTAACCATTTTAACGGTGATAAAAACAGGCTGGATTTCTATTAGGTCCGTCCGGATTGTCACACATCCCGGCGGTGAACAGTTTCTTCCTCCAGAATTTTGCGGCGGATTACTATGAATTCATGGCGGTCCTCTTCAGGATCATAATCATGTTCCTAATTGGCCTGGAAATGGACTTCCCCTACTTCCTCCGCAAGCTCCGGCCAGCCAGCATCATAGCCTGCGGCTCATGCTTGGTCTGCACTTTCTTCGCCGCCGCCATAACATCGTTCGTGTACCAAGAGACATCGTCCCACGGCTCCGGGTTCATGATGGGGCTGATGATCACAATCATCCTGGCCAGCACCGCCTCCCCCGTGGTGGTCCGTCTGGCGGTGGATTTGAAATTCGCGACTTCGGACATCGGACGCATGGCCATCTCTTCCTCCTTGATCAACGACGCCTACGGGGTGGTGTTGCTGTTCGTGATCTCCAAGACGAGGCAGCACTATTCCTACACGGCGTGGGTTTTCCTCGGCCTGCTCTACCTCTTTGTGGTGGCGGTCGTGGTGGTGGTCAACATGTACGTCGCGAACTGGATGAACCGGGGGAACAGGAACCAGAAGTACCTTAAGAACGCCGAAATGTTCGGGCTTCTGGCTATTCTGTACATCGTCGCCATGTCTCTTGAGCTCATGGGATTCAGCAGCTTGATATTTTCCTTCCTCATCGGGTCAATGTTCCCGCGCGGGGGGAGAGCGGCCCGGACATTGTTGACCAAACTCACGTATCCGGTTCACAACTTCATACTCCCGATTTATTTCGGGTACTTCGGGTTCAAGGCGGATGTGGCATTCATCAACAGCCTACGGAACTTCTGCATCGTGTTTTTCGTGATGCTGCTGAGTTTTGGAGGCAAGATTGTTGGCACTTTGGCTGCTTGCTATCACCTCAAGATTCCCTACTATGAAGGAGTGCTCATGGCTTTCCTAATGAACCTGAAAGGCCATGTTGACTTGCTGGCTTTAACTATTGGGTCAACAAACAGAGTGAGTGGAAAATCACCCATATATATACTTGCAATCCCTCAATCTTTATTTTGTTTATTTGGTGACTTGATGATGCATATATGCAGATCATACTGAGTGACACATTCTTCAGCTTGATGATATCAGCAGTGGTGTTGAACTCATTGATATGGGGACCCATCATAGCTTTGATGGTGAGAAGAGAGCAAGACATCATCGGATACCGGCAAATATATTTCGAGACTCAGAGTCCGGAATGCGAACTCCGGACTCTGGCTTGCGTCCACAGCCCTCGGCCGGTGGCGACCATGGTGGGACTCATAGCAGCTTCGAGAGGTCCCGAGAATATTCCCCAGACCCCTTACTT